GGGGGGCAGTGGAGGAGTTGGACCCCCAGTGGGGCAGGGAGCCCTCAGGGTGACATCCATGGGGTCTGGGTCCAGCTGTGGGGTTCTGGGTTTGGGGTCTGAGGGTGTGGGTTTGAGGTACGGGTCTGGGGTTCTGGGTCTGGGGTCTGGATCTGGCAAATGGAGCTCTGGGTTTGGGGTCTGGAGTGTAGGGTTCTGGATCTGGGGTCTGGGATGAGATTCTGGGTATGAGGTCTGGGGTTCTGGGTTTGGGGTCTGGGATTTGAGGTCTGGGGGTCTGGATCTGGCATATGGAGCTCTGGGTTTGAGGTCTGGAGTCTGGGGTTCTGGATATAGGGCCTGGTCTGAGGTTTTGGGTTTGCGTTCTGGGGTTCTGGATATGGGGTCTGGATCTGAGATATGGAGTTCTGGGTATGGGGTCTGGAGTCTGGGCTTCTGGATATGGGGTCTGGGATGAGATTCTGGGTATGGGGTCTGGGGTTCTGGGTTTGGGGTCTGGGTTTTGAGGTCTGGGGGTCTGGATCTGGCAAATGGAGCTCTGGGTTTGGGGTCTGGAGTGTGGGCTTCTGGATCTGGGGTCTGGGTTTGGGGTCTGAGTATGGGTTCTGGGTATGGGGTCTGGGGTTTGAGGTCTGGGGTTCTGGGTTTGGGGTTTGGGGTTCAAGGTCTGGATCTGACATATGGAGTTCTGGGTTTGGGGTCTGAAGTCTGGGCTTCTGGATCTAGGGTCTGGGATGAGATTCTGGGTATAGGGTCTGGGGTTCTGGGTTTGGGGTCTGGGTTTTGAGGTCTGGGGTCTGGATCTGGCAAATGGAATTCTGGGTTTGGGGTCTGGAGTGTAGGGTTCTGGATCTGGGGTCTGGGTTTGGGATCTGAATATGGGGTCTGGAGTTCGAGGTCTGGGGTTTGAGGTCTGGGGTTCTGGGTTTGGGGTCTGAGTATGGGGTCTGGGGTTTGAGGTCTGGGGTTCTGGGTTTGGGGTCTGGGATTTGAGGTCTGGGATCAGGTCTGACAAATGGAGCTCTGGGTTTGGGGTCTGGAGTCTGAGGTTTTGGATGTGGAATCTGGTCTGGGTTTTTGGATCTGAAGTCTGGGCTTCTGGGTTTGGGGTCTGGGGTGTGAGGTCTGGAATCGGGATCTGGCATATGGAGCTCAGGGTTTGGGGTCTGCAGTGTAGGGTTCTGGATCTGGGATCTGGTCTGAGGTTTCGGGTTTGGGGTCTGGGGTTCGAGGTTTGGGGTCTGGAGTCTGGATGTGGAATCTGGTCTGGGTTTCTGGATATGAGGTCTGGGGTTGTGGGTATGGGGTCTGGGGTTCTGTGTTTGGGGTCTGGATCTGACGTATGGAGTTCTGGGTTTGGGGTCTGGAGTCGGGGCTTCTGGATCTGGGGTCTGATCAGAGGTTTTGGGTCTGGGGGTCTGGATCTGGCGTATGGGATTGTGGGTTTGGGGTTGTTGCGGGTTTGGGGTTGTTGTGGGTTTGGGGTTGTTGTAGGTTTGGGGTTGTTGCGGGTTTGGAGTTCTTGCGGGTTTGGGGTTGTTGCGGGTTTGGAGTTGTTGTGGGTTTGGGGTTGTTGTGGGGGTTGTTGCGGGTTTGGAGTTGTGGGTTTGGGGTTGTTGCGGGTTTGGGGTTGTTGCGGGTTTGGAGTTGTTGTGGGTTTGGGGTTGTTGTGGGTTTGGGGTCAGAAGCCTGCAGTTCTTATCCTGGGATGTGGATGCGGTGTGGGGGGTTCAGGGTTTGGGATCCTGGTCTGCGATGTCCCTGGGCTCCAAGGGCTGGGGTCTGAGGGGCGGCTGTGAGGAATGGCTGTGGGCGGTGGGGCCGGCCGTGTGTCTGGCTGTGTGTCTGTGTGTCCGGCTGTGTGTCCGGCTGTGTGTCTGTATGTCCGGCTGTGTGTCCACCTGTGTGTCTTTGCATCTGGCTGTGTGTCTGTGTGTCCGGCTGTGTGTCCAGCTGTGTGTCTGGTTGTGTCCAACTGTGTGTCCAGCTGTGTGTCCACCTGTTTGTCTGTGCATCTGGCTGTGTGTCCAGCTGTGTGTCTGGCTGTGTGTCCGGCTGTGTCCAGCTGTGTGTCTGGCTGTGTGTCCGCTTGTGTGTCTGTGTGTCTGACTGTGTGTCCGGCTTTGTGTCCGGCTGTGTGTCCGTCTCTGTCCAGCTGTGTGTCTGGCTGTGTGTCTGGTTGTGTCCGGCTGTGTGTCCATCTGTGTCTGGCTGTGTGTCTGGCTGTGTGTCTTTGCATCTGGCTGTGTGTCCCGCTGAGTGTCCGGCTGTGTGTCCAGCTGTGAGTCCATCTGTGTTCAGCTGTGTGTCCGGCTGTATATCTGTCTGTGTTCAGCTGTGTGTCTGGCTGTGTCCGGCTGTGCATCTGGCTGTGTGTCCGGCTGTATGTCCATCTGTGTGTCTGGCTGTGTGTCTCGCTGAGTGTCCAGCTGCGTGTCCGACTGTGCATCTGCCCGAGTGTCTGGCTGTGTGTCCGGCTGTGTGTCTGTGTGTCCGACTGTGTGTCTGGCTGTGTGTCCGGCTGTATGCCCAGCTGTGTGTCCGTCTGTGAGCTGTGTGTCCAGCTGTGTGTCTGGCCGTGTGTCTCGCTGAGTGTCCAGCTGTGTGTCCGACTGTGCATCTGGCTGTGTGTCCGGTTGTCTGTCTGGCTGTTTCCAGCTGTGTGTCTGGCTGTGTATCTGTCTGTGTCCAGCTGTGCATCCGATTGTGCATCTGGCTGTGTGTCTGGCTGTGTGTCCGTCTGTGGGCTGTGTGTCTGGCTGTATGTCCATCTGTGTGTCTGGCCGTGTGTCTCGCTGAGTGACCAGCTGTGTGTCCGACTGTGTGTCCAGCTGTGTGTCTGGCTGTTTCCAGCTGTGTGTCCGGCTGTGTCCAGCTGTGTATCCAGCTGTGAGTCCAGCTGTGTGTCTGGTTGTGTGTCCATCTGTCTCTGGCTGTCTGTCCATCTGCGGGCTGTGTGTCCGGCTGTGTATCTGTCTATATCCAGCTGCGTGTCCGTCTGCGCATCCGTCTGTGTGTCCATCTATGCATCCGTCCGTCTGTGCGTCCGGCCGCGCGGTGCGGCTTTGCGCTCCGTCCCCGCATTGCCGCTGCGCTCCCAGCGCTCCGCCGAAGAGCCGGGCGGTGCGGGGCGATGCGGGGCGGTGCGGGGCCGGGCGGTGGCGGCCGATGGGGGAGGGGGGGTCCCGAGCCACATCGCCCCCCCCTCTCCCCCCCTCCCCTCCCTCCCCGAGCATCCGATGCTCGGAAGATCCGCCTTCGCACCGCGCGCAGGTCGCGTTTCCATGGCACCGCCC